ATAAAACAAGAAATCCCACTGGTCTAAATTATCCTGGAGTAAAATTGTTTCCAGTGAATGTGAATAAAAAATAATTAAAGAATACACCCCCTTCTGGAAAGCCTGAACAGGTTTAAATACAACTTTCTGGATATTTATGTATCAAAAATAGTTTCAAACAGACTTTGTACTCACTTGCTTTGTGTCAGGTCAACAACAATGAGATCTTTTTCCAGTAACACAACTACAGCATAGGGGTCTTGAAATTCTAGAAGTAAGAAATGAAACATAACATTTATAAAACAGTTTTTCCACCAGACATTTTAATTAAATTAACCAAATCATGTAATCCTTTTACTAAACAATTACTATTTGTTAAGAGTTTTGCAAAAGAAGCCTGAACAACTAGAAAACTTATCTGCAAACTGGAAAGTATGACCTTTGATTAGAGTCAGACACTAATGGGAAAGGACCATGATGACAAGTGGCTTTGGGAAAGTATTTGTTAAAAACACATTGAGACAGAAACAGCATGGTAAATTACAGCATGCTAACATGGTATTGAATGGACAGGAAAGGAGTACAGAAGAGGTTCTCTTTGATGTCTTAGGAAACCGTATGTTAACCCATCATTAAATCCAATTATCAGTAGAATGGGTATTGATGTTTTGCTATGGACAGAGATTATCTAAAGCTTTATTCTTTGCAGCTGATTCAGCTTATTTGATAATGCATGGTGCACCCATTCCCAATGGTGTATCCCTCAGACCTCAAAAGAAGAGATTCACTAGGTCCACTATTTAAAATGTGTAAAGGGAGCATGAATGAGGAAACAATGTTAACAGAGGTACGCAGTAGAGATGGAAGGTGAAGAAAGAGGTGCAGCTGTGCTACAGGTAGAGTTGGGCAGAGTCAGACTGCATGGAGCTGAAAAAGAGATGTCAAAGATTTAGGTTTGCTCCTCCATTCCTAACATACCAAGATGCTCTTACAGGAGCAGACTCTGGTCTTTCAACCACTTTTAAACCACTTCCTTTGACAAAAGCTCATTTTCATGTATGTTACCTATCATTCTGGAATTCAAATTCTGGTATTCTAAATTAGAAATTTATTTACAGGTGTTGAGTTAAAAATCATGGAAAACTTTAAAGGAGAGAAAACAAAGTGTTTCAGCACAGGAGGGGAAAACTATTTATACCTACTCCCTATTATTATTTCTTATCTTTTTGCTGGGAAATGTTTTTCATAGTTAAAGGATACTTGGCCTAAAATTTTTTCTACAGCTATTAGGCCTGTGTTAATAGGGAAGTATTTGATTCAGATTTGGCTGATTCAGAGGCTGATTTGATTCAGAGATTTGGATCACTGTCCCAAATCGATTTGGCCGAATCCATTCTGGAAGATTCAGTGCTGATTTGGAGAGATTCGGATCGGACGGGGAGCGGCAGGCACAGCCAGCTGGCTGCAGGTTCTCGCACAGCTCCTCTGACTGTGCTTGCCTTTCCCCAGGTTGGGGGAGCCGTGGGAGAAGCCCCCATGGCTGCCCTGCCCAGCCCAGCCCCATCGCCCTCCCCGCCCCAGCCTAGTCCCAGCACTTCAAAAAAAGAAAAGAAAAAAGCCCCGCACTCACTGGATCTGACAGTGGTGATTGGAGCCTCTGGGCACTTGTGGCAGAGCCCCCCCGCGAAGCGTAGGGCAATGAGGATCAATCCCCCCCTGCCTGGCACCTGTGCAGCAGCTGCCCCATGGCACAGGTGCAGCGTGGCTCAGCAGGGCGCCACGCGCTGTCTGGGAGCTGGGGCTGCTGGGGCCAAGTGCTGCCAGGCTCCACCTGACATGTGGAGCCACCCCAGCTCCCAGACAGTGCACAGCACCCTGCTGAGCTGTGCTGCACCCGTGCCATGGGGCAACTGCTGCATGTGTGCCAGGTTGGGGGGGCAATCCCCGCTGTCCCCCACTGCCCCATGCTGCACAGGGAGGCTCTGCCACGAGTGCCCAGACACCCCAATCGCCACTGCTAGACCCAGTGAGTGCAGGGCTTTTTTCTTTTTTTTAAAGTGCCAGGAGGCTGGAGCTGGGCGGGGGATGGGGCCAGGCAGGGCAGCCATGGGGGCTTCTCCCACAGCTCCTCCAGTTGTGCCCGCCTC